AATTCACAAGCTAAATATGAGCCAACAGTGTGATGTGCCTAGAAAAAAAGGCAAATACTATTTTAGGCTGCATTAATAAAAGTATAGTTTCCAAATCCAACGTGGTGCTAATTCCCCTCTATTCAGCACTAGTTAGGCTTCACCTTGAGTATCATGTCCAGTTCTGGTCACCACACTTCAAGAAGGATGCTTACAAACTGGAAAAAGTTCAAAGGAGGACAACAAGGATGATTAGGGGGCTGGAAACCAAGCCTTGTCCCAGTCCCACCAACCTAGCAGTTCGAAAGCATGCTAAATGCAAAAATGCGAGTAGATAAAAAGGTACCACCATGGTGGGAAGGTAATGGCATTCCGTGCCTAGTCGCACTGGCCACATGACCACGGAAGATTGTCTTCGGACAAACACTAGCTCTATGGGTTGGAAACAGAGATGAGCACCGCACCCTAGAGTCGGACACAACTGGACAAATTGTCAAAGTGGAACCTTTACCTTTAGCCTTGAGGAAAGAAGACTGAGGGGTGATGTGATAGCAATTTTCAGATACTTGAAAGGCTGACATACAAAGAGGGGGCAGGATCTGGGCTTGATCATCCCAGGGTGCAGGACACGCAACAATGGGCTCAAGTCGAATATCAGGAAAAAGTTCCTAACTGTTAGAGCAGCACGACAGTAGAACCAGTGACCTTGGGAGTTGGTGAGTGCTCGAACAGTGGAGGCATTCAAGAAAAACTGGCAGATATGCTTTGATTGTATTCCTGCATTGAGCAGGGTGTTGGACTTGATGGCTGTGTAGGCTCCTTCCAAATTCACTTTGCTATGATTCTAGGGGGACCTCGATTCAGATCTGTTTTGTTCCATGAAACTCATAGGTTAACGTTATGCCAGTCATATTTTCCCATCCAGCAACTTCACAGAGTTGGGAGGATAAAGCACTCTTATGTCTTGGGAAGTAGGCTTGTTCCACAAAAACAAATATTAAAATATAGCAGTTAGTTTTTAAGATCTCACAATGTTTTTGTTGACTTTATTTTTTTCTTTTTTTTCTTTTACTGTTCTCTCTGCCTGATAAAGCAGAGAGAAAGAATAAGACAGGATATCAGTGTAATGACAGAGGAAAAGTCTGCTTCAAGAGTGAGAAAGAGAGGGAGATTCTTAGTACCATTGCCAAATTAAATTATTGGTTGACAAAACACAAAAGTGATTGTGAAGAAAATGCAGTCAGCAGCTTAGCTGCTGATTGTGCCATCAGTGTACACCTTACTTAATAGACTAATATAGAAAGAAGATGGATCCTTGTCCCAAGGAACATGTCAACAAAATGTTTTAGAAAAATACCTGTTTTTTTCCTACCCTGCTGTGGCAAATATGGCAGGAAACAGGGCTTTGGAGTTGCCAACCCTGAGGCTGAGATCAGGAATTCATACTGCATAGATATTTCAGGTGAAGGGACTACAGCTTTAAGAGAATGCCTTGTCTCTTTTCTGCTCATATATGATCACTGATAAGAGATCTAAAAGTGCCAGCTTGGTAGTCAGAATGGAACTACTCACTACAGTTCACAAAATGAAACCAAGCAAGAGAAAATTCCAGAAGGTGATTCATTTTTTCTGTCAGTTAACCACTTTTCACCCAAACGCAAAACAATTCTTAGGGCTGTTTTTCAACAAGTGTGGATGATAGTGAGCAGACCATCTTGACTGCTGCCATTGGTGTTGCTAACATTCAGGTTGCCCTGAATGTTATTGTACAAAAGCACAATATCCCAAAGTTCATAAACAGAGGATTTTTTAAAAATAATTTTATTTCCCTGCTCTTTAAAATGTGAGTTTAAATATACATATGCTGCACACATATTCCAGCAGAAACTCCACTCATGTCGAATTACCCAGTAGAGGAGCCAGGAGCACATGATTCCTGGGAGAAGACAGAAGCAAGAACAGTTTGGATGTGGCTATAGTCCCTCTTTGCCAAAATAGTTTGAAAGGCTGTTTTGGACTTAGTGAAATGGAGAACCAAAGGTGTGAGTAGATACAACACATACAATGGAGAAACACACACACACAGTTTGACCTTTCAGGTAAACTAATGTTGCCTTGCTTGCTCCGCAGAATACAGAAAAGAAAGCTGTGTTCGAATTTCTAAATCCTTTCCTTGAGTCATGCAAGCTGAGAAAAAAAATTATATTGGGTCAAAATCTCAACGGACATGTTGTATGCATGTTTTCTAAAAGATGTCTTTTGCTTTTTGAAATAATAAAAAAGGAAGAGGGTGCAGTTAGCAAAGAATGACATTGGAAACCAAGCTCAGAATTATCCACATTATATGAAAGAAAGTCAATGAAGAAAAAGCAGAACAAAAATCAGCTCATGTGTAATGTGGTGTTGGTACAGATACTGAAGATCAGCATAATTGTGAGTGCTCAAAGTCAAGACTGGACTCTCACTAGATCAAAAATGAGTAAGATGGGCCTATCCTACGATGCATATAGAATGGAAATATGGAAGTGTCCAGAATAGACTATATTGCTGGAAAAAGTAGGGTGGAGCAGTAGGAAAGGAGGAAAACCTAACATGAGATGAGACGACTCAGTAGAGGAAGTGACAGCAGTTGGTTTATAAGATCTGAGCAGAGCTGTTTATTATGATAAGACATTTTGGAAATCAGTAAGTAACTCATAGAGTTACCTCACATCAGAAGTGACTTATTGGCACATAAGCATCTTTGGCGTTTTTTTTCTTAAATACGAAACAATGGTAAAGTGACAAGATGGGTGGAATAGGCATGAAGCACTGTATGACCATCCCCAGCCACTAAGCAAAAAACGGTAATCTCACAGCTTAAATGAGTGAGCTTCTGAATATTCAGTTTTTTTTAAAAATACCTTTTGAAATACAATTACATGAGAAATAGAATTTTTTTTAATGTCTGCTTAGTCAGGAAGGACTTAAAAAGCGTTCTTTGTGAGAGTCATTTAATTTGGTTCTGACTGACAGGGTCAAAAGTTCAGATCTATTCTCTCAGTGTTTTATGTCTAGTTTGTGCTAAACAGACATCAGAAAATCAGAGGTTTCCCCTCTTAAATGTTTTTTCTAAATTAACCCCCCTCCCAAACGCTGGATTCATTCCAAATTTAAAAAGGAGGAGCTGGGATTAACCAAGATAAGCCAGTTTGGCCTTTTCAATGTATTTGATTGTTTTAAATCTGCAGACAGATAAGGTCACCAATGTCTGCATAGGAGGGTAACACAGTTTTAATTTTTTACAAAATATTATAACTTGAAAACCAGATATCGCCCATTTTGCACAGAGCAAGAACAGACCGCTACTTCTGTGGCAAATTTGGTGCTGATCCAAGGTCCAGTTTCAAAGTTACATTTTTTTTGTTTGGGGTGTCCCTATTTTTTGACTTGCCTTATGGAATGCGGATTTGCTGCGTTACACAATATCTGTTGCTGCACTCTTGTGCAGCAGTAATGCAGATTCTCTAAGGCACAGCAGGTAGAACAAGTTTCCAGGGAGTTGTTTAACGTTCATTTCTGCCTGCATGCAGTTTTTATCCAGGATGTCTGTTTCTGTTCCTTCATCTGGCATGTCTGTCAGTTCATATCTGGAAACTCTGAAATCCATCAGTGTTGGAGATAGAGGGGCTTGCTGTGCATTAACTATGGTTTGTTATTTTTCATGGTCTTTCTCTAGAACTCCATTCGTCACAATCTCTCCCTGAATAAATGCTTTCGAAAAGTGCCTCGCCCTCGGGATGACCCTGGAAAGGTAAAAGATCTGGCTAGATTTCCTGTTCGGGGATTTTCTGTCAACGTTGAGTCCTTTAGACTTTGCTTTTTGTAAAATGAGGTAAAAGAAAAAAAACAAGTAAACAGGTGGAATAAAGGTATGCAGAAAAGGCAGCTCATGTGTAATATTCTACAGTGAGGGCACATGTCTTGAGATTTCAGTAGGTTCTTGAAAGGTCATTGTGTTTCATGTTTTGACATCAGAATTGCTATTCTTGCCTAACCTGTTGTTCCCAAGTATATTGGAGACTCAGAGGTAACTAGGATAATGAGATATTTAAAAAAGAAAAAGAAATCAAGGAAGATGTTGCAAGAGAACACAATTAGAGTGCACATAGTGTAATTGATAACCCTGACAACTAGGCTCTTTTGCATTCTAGATCATACCTCTGCTGTTTCTGACACTGGCATGAGTTTATTTTATACTGCTGTCACCAGTAGATGTTGTTGCTTCTAGGGCTCTTATTGGACGATCGATACATGTCCTGATATCTCCCGGAAGAGGCGGCATCCACCAGATGATGATGTGAGTGTGACTCGTCCATCCTTCATCCAGGGTTGAGAGTATTTGTGAGAGAAGATACAGGACAGTTTTTTTAAAAGGTCCTACACCTGCCTTGCTGCTGTAGGGCACAGAGAAAGCCCAGAATTCAGCCTCCACTGTCATTTTTGCATGTATTTTGAAAGAACACATTTATATCCTTTCTGTCTCTGTATATGAGCAGTGCCTGATCATCTGAAATCTTCAAAGCATAGAGAGGTATCTGCATGAGACTTCCACAGATCAGAGAAATGAAAGGCTTCGCTACTCTGTCCTCCTTCCATGATTAGTAAAACCAGAAATAATTTTTTAAAAATGGAAATAAATAATAAATTATGCCAAATTACTTATTACAGTGGTGCCCTGCTTGACGATGATGATCTGTTCCAAGAAAATAGCTGTTAAGCAAAACCCATTAATCCATTCTGGCTGTTTTTGGTTCTTAGGTTGAGGGGCAGTTTGTAAGTCAAAGCCGGTTAATCCATTCCTACCACTAGGGGCAGAATTTTTTTCTTTTTTCTTTCTTTTTTTAACCTAAGATGGCATTGGTTAAAAAAAGGGCAGGAAACCACGGAGGGAACAAACAAACACTTTAAAAAGAACACTTTTTAAATCAAGCACCTTTTACACCAAAACAGGCACATTTTCAACCAAATACCTTTAAAATCAAAACAAGCAGCTTTTAAAGCAACCAAGCACGTTTTTACCCAAGCAGGTTTTAACTTAAACCTAGCTCCCTTTTACCCAAGCACCATTTAAACCAAACAAATCACCTTTTAAACTAACTTTTATATTTAAAAATGACAATACCAGGCAGTCCCAGGTCTCTCTTCCCATTCTCTAACGAGGAAGCAGACAATCAGCCTCTTTGCTAACTGAAAGTTCCAATTTCCCGCTTTCCCTGCCTTCCCCACACTTTTTTCTGTTCGTAACTCGAATCCAAGTTTGCAAGTCGAGTCCATATTTTCCTATCAGAGCAGTTTGTGTCGAAATGTTCATAACTAGGGCCATTCGTAAATCGAGGGTTGACTTTACTTACTTACTCTCCAAAATGCAAACAGTAAATGCAGTGACTAAGTGGAGATCAAAGTTTTCTATAAAATATAGTGTCATACTATATATAGTCATAATGCATTTTTGTTTGTATTTTGGAGAACAAATAATTATTAATAATGAGTTTTAAAGGTACAAAGATTTTTCAGTACAGTGGTGCCTCACTTAGCGATGTTAATTGGTTCCAAAAAAACATCGCTATGGGAAAACATCGCTAGGCAAAACACCATTTCCCATAGGAGTGCATTAAAAACCAGATAATCCGTTCCAATGGGAACGGATTACCGTCCTTAAGCGAAAATCGCCATAGGAAACATCGCTAAGTGAAACACGGTTCCCCATTGGAATGCATTGAATAGGTTTCAATGCATTTCAATGGTTTTGACAGGTCCGTTTTCGCTATTTTTAAAGTGTCTTAAAATGTTCAAAAACTGTTTAAAATGCTTGGAATCGCTAGTGCACCTTGTAAAACCTTTGCAAACTTAATTTGGCTTTGTTCTGAGTCTTCGTTAATTTTTGGTGAATTTCCCCCCATTGGAATGCATTGACAGCTGTCAAACCTACAGTTCAATGCATTCCAATTGGGAGGGGGGGAATTCACCAAAAATTAACGAAGACTCAGAACAAAGCCAAATTAAGTTTGCAAAGGTTTTACAAGGTGCACTAACGATTCCAAGCATTTTAAACAGTTTTTGAACATTTTAAGACACTTTAAAAATAGCAAAAACGGACATCGCTAAGCGAAACAGGGGGACCCAAACTGTCATCGCTATGCGAGGCATGGTCCCGAACATCGCTATGTGAAATTCCCCCATTGGAAACATTGCTAAACGGAGCGCAAGATCGCTCCTAAAACCTCATCGCTAAGCGAATACATCGTTAAACGAGGCAATCACTAAGCGAGGCACCACTGTATACCCCTGTAAGTTCTGCAACGGGTCCCTAAATGTTCTCTCATATTTTGCTGATAATTTTAAATGAGCTCAGTGGAAATTATTCTGATGTTTGACCATTAGACATGAGTTTTGAATTTCTAGCATATCATGAGACAGGTGATAGTCCCTTTCAGTGCTGTATTTAGTCCTCTCCACTATGTTGAGTATTGTGCCAACTTCTGTGCTGTGTTAACCTCTCTGTCTGTTTCTTATCCATATCCCTTCATTTTCCATCTATCCAGTTGTCACAAGATTCTCCAGACCAGGAGGCAAGCAAAAGCCCACGGGGGCCTATATCTGTTGGTGCAGAAGCATCACTGTCTCCTGAATCCACTCAGCAGATGTCATTGCAAAACACACCACCTATCGGCAGCTTCAATCAGGTTTGTGGAGATGGGATGGGCGAGAGGATGTATCAATGGCCAAGAGTTGGAACAAACAAAAGGGGAAGACCAGTGAGGGAGATTTAGGAAGATGAAAAACACTGTGAGGTATTACACAGAAGAAAGTTGAGGGTGAAGGTTGGATGAGTGTGATGCAATAGTCTTTAATATAGGCCAAAGCTAATAGCTGTGAAGGTAGGAGACTACGTCAAAAGATATAGTATGTTGAATTTTATTGCACATTCTTATCTGTCCACAGCAGAATACAGGGCCTGTTGATGTGGCAGCTACAGTGGCAAGTGGACAGGGCCGTGAAGGGGCAGATGTTCCACCTCCACACTACAGCACCAGCAATGACTTGAAATTCTCCTACTCTGAGATCAACTTCCAAGACCTGAGCTGGTCCTTCCGAAACCTCTATAAATCTATGCTTGAGAAATCTTCTTCCTCACAACATGGTGAGTAAAAGTGTCCAGCAAGATCCAAAAGAATCCATAGAGGGGTTTTTGCACCCTAGGCAAATATTGTATCTCTTAGTTTCTCTAATAGTGATGTCTGGTCATGTCTGTGTGTGTGTGTGTGTTTGTTTGTTTTTTTGCAGCCTCTTTGCATTGTGAAGCATTATTGAAGTATTGTGTATCTTGGTAGGCATTGCTGCATTGAGTTTGGCCAGGCTGGAAACAACAAAGAGAGAAATGCACCCCCTTTTCGCTTGGAATGGGGAAAGAATTGAATTTGCTTTAGAGGGCCCTGCATTGACACAGAGGCCTCATAGTTTCAGCTGGTTTCCTGGCAAGTTCTTTAGCCTTGGATTATGGAATCTTGGCTTAAGATCCAAGCATCCTGGATTGTACATTAAAATTATTTAAACATTGCTTTGTAAGAGTGTTTGTAAGAGTGGTAAATGGAAGACCGATATAACTTTTTCAGGCCACAGATACTTGGATCTGTCAAAATCCTAACAAGAATATACCAATAAATATGGAAAAGAAAACCCACAGACTGACAATGTTCAATATACATTCCAAACCCCAAGAAAGGAGATGCCAAGGAGTGCAGTAACCATTGCTTTAATTTCTGGTGCAAGCAAGTTGATGCTCAAGGTGTGGCTTTTATCTTATATGGAATGAGAAATGTGTGATGTTCAAGCCAGATTCCAAAAAGAAAAACACTCAAGACCATATGGCAAATAGCCTTTGGTTACTGGAATGCACCAAAGAGTTTCAGAAGTTGTTCAATCTATTCTTTATAGACAGCAAAGCTTTTGATTGTGTGGATCATTAAAAACTATGGGTTGTTCTGAAAGAAATGGATGTGCCTCAGCACTTGATTGTTTGATGCCTAATCTGTATTGTGGACAAGTTACCACCATTAGGATAAATATGGAGAGACAGAATGGTTTCCTATAGGCAAAGGTGTCAGACAAAGGGTGCATTTTAACCCCTTAGCTCTTCATTCTGTATGCAGAACATATCATATGGAAAGCCAAACTAATTTCAGATTATGGAGGAGTGAAAATTGGTGGAAGAAAAAAATCAGTAGTTTAAGATATGCAGATGACACCATCTTGATGGCAGAAAGCAGCAATGACTTCAATCAAATTTTAGTGAAAGTGAAAGAAAAAAATGCCAAAGCAGGACTCCAGCTGAACATTATGAAGACCATAGTCATGACAACAGAGAACTGCACAACTTTACCATTGATAATGAAGAAATTGAAATGCTGTTTATACTCGAGTATAAGCCTAGTTTTTCAGCGCAGTTTTTTTTTGCTGAAAAAGCACCCCCATTGGCTTATACTCGAGTGTCAAAATTACATGTTTTCCCCTGCAGTGCGGTTGTTCTCCGGACTCCCCCACTCATCTACGGGCGTCTGCAGCCTCTGTGGGTGGTCCAATGACCCAGGTTAAGTACACCACATTTCCGTTTCTAGGACACTCCCATCCTCCTCCTCCTGCATATTTTATGTAGCCACCTTCCTCCTCCATCCTCTGTCTCCCTCCATCTTGTTACACAGCAGTAGAGCAGTACATAAGTGCAGCATCCGGTATGAGTCCTCCCTCCGCAGGCAGTGAAGTGTGTCTCGCAGCTCAGATGGGCAGTATCTTCAAAAACATTTAACCTACTGATGCCTCAATTAATGTAATTTTATTGGTATCTATTATTATTACCAGTAGCTGCTGCGTTTTCCACCTTCAGCTTATACTTGAGTCAATTCGTTTTCCCAATTTTTTGTGGTAAAATTGGGTACCTCGGCTTATATTCGGGTTGGCTTATACTCGAGTTTGTATATCTTGCTTTAATCATCAGTCCAATTGGTAACTGTAGCAAAAAAAAAATCAGAAGACTGAGACTCGGAAGAGCATCAGTGAAGGAATTAGAAAAGATCATCAAGTGTAAGGATGTGTCACTGGAGACCATCACCATATATGAAAGCTGGATAATAAAGGAATCTTAACAAGGGGAAAAATTAATTCACTTGAAATGTGGTGCTGGAGGAAAGTTTTGTGCATACTCTGGACTGCCTGAAATATGATAAACTCAAACCTGAATTAACTCTAGAGGCAACAGTGATGGAACCAAGGCTGTCATACTTCGGGCATATTATGAGGAGACAAGATTATCTGGAAAAGACAATAATGCAGGGAAAGATTGAACTCAACATGAAAAGAGGAAGATCAAATATGAGATGGATTGGCTCCCTAAAGGAAACAACAGGCTTTCTTTTTCAAGAACTTATCAGGAACAGGACAGGACATTTTGGATATCTCTCATTCATAGGGTCACCATACGTTGGGGCATGTAAGAGCAACATATAGGAGTGTTGCTATATATATTCTTGCACTTTATGAGTAGAGAGAGAGATTTTAGCTGGATCAATGGCTTTGAAATATACTGTATTTTTCTGTGTATAAAATGACACTTTTCCTAAAATAATTAGGGGAAAAATTGAGGGTCCTTTTATACACAGAAAGAGGCAGAGGAAAAGAAGCACTTGCGCGCACTCGGGCACCTCTTGCTGATGCCGCCACCCATTGCCTCCTCCAGTGCAACTGCCGGGGCTCACTTCGCCGTCTTGTCCCCTCCGATGGTGGAGGCAGTAGGAGGCGGAGGCAAAGGAGCACTCACATGCGCTCGGGCATCTCTTGCTGCCACCGCATCGCTTCCTCCGGCACTCCCTTTGGGGCAGGGGACACGGCAGCAACAATGTGAGCTGGAGGTGAGCCCTGGCAGTTGCAGCCACTGGATGGCGCCATCTCATAAAATTTGCCTCTCCCCCCCAAACTTATATTCAGAAAACAGTGAATTTGTTGGCCCAAGTTGCTGTTGAGTCTTGGAGGCTGGATAAATAATTATAGTACTAGTAGGATTGTTGCTTTGATAATCTTTGCAGGCCTAATATTTGGGACTGCTGAGGACACTAGGCTCACTTCATAATATTTGAGACAGCAAGGACACTAGGCTCAGTTTAGAAACAGTTTAGAAAAAGAAAATAGAGATTTGGTCATCCCACTAGTTTTCAGATTTAACAGCTTTCTCTTAAACTTTTCTTCAGATTTCTCTTCCCTGCTGGGAGAAATGCAGCCCTCCAACCACAGTTACTACATGTACCAACAGCAGCAGGTACCTTCCTCAGTGGGAGCACCACCCCCACTCCACACTCCCACCTCAGAAGGTTGTCCATCCCAGGGTAACAAGCAGCAAGGAGGAGACAGCTATGGTCCTCCACCTGTGATGTCCATTCATCCCTCGTCAATGCAGCACGGAGGATATCACCAGCATCAGCAGCACCACCCACACTCCCATTCTCAGCAGCAGCAGCAGCAATCACAGGCTTCAATCAATAACGCTAGCTTTGGTGAGTTACGACTTGCAAAAATAATGACGGAAATTAATCGAATTAAGGATGGACACGCAGAAGCCTCAAACATAGCCTTTTCTTTATATTTTTTAAAAAGAGAACCCACTGCTTTTTATTATTTTTTTCATATATTTTTTTAAAGAAATCTATACAGAGCATAGTTTATTCTTCTTTTGGTCAAAAAGAGTCTAATAACATTTTAATTTGTTTTTAATTTTACCTATATTTGATTTACATCAATAATTTTAAACTGTACAACACTCTGATAGGAATAACAGAAGAGGGAAGCTTTCTGGGGGAGGAAATATATAAAATAATAAGTGGCCTGAAACTTTTAAAAATGCATCTCAAAAATCATTTTAGAACCTCTGAAATAAACAAATAAATATTGCATGCAAGAAGGAAAAAAGTAATGTACTTTTAAAAAAACACATTATTGCTCCTTTTGTTATCCCAAAATGTAGCATACTATTTCATACACATTACTTCCAAATTCTGTAATGGACTGGACCCAGCGATAAACTGTTAGACTGGGATGTAGGAGCTTTTCATGTGTTCTTTTTGCTTTTGGATGATTTGGACAAAATTATGAAAGACAGCTTAAAAGTATGTATGTTTGAATGTGCAACATTTATCTCTGCTGATATACATCTTCCAAGAGACCAGACTATAGGCTTTTGGCATGTTTGGTGACGAACCTGCATTACCTTTTTCATAATGAATTTAATGGTTCAGGCCCCCTTCTCTGTCAGCTTTCAACCAAGGTCTTCGGAGTCCTACTCTGAGTCCTAGTCTATCCATTTCATCACTCTAGCAACTCTAAGAACAGCATATGTTTTTGACTGTTTCCCTCCATCTTCCAGCATTTCCTCCTGATTGGTGCTCCAACATTGATTCCTTAAAAGAAAGTTTCAAGATGGTGAACCGACTCAACTGGTCTAGCATTGAACACTCCCAGTTCTCAGGTGAGTCATGTTATGCTACTTCCCTGTATCCTTCACTTTTAGGTAGCTTCCTGATAAAAAGAGGGAAAGGGTGCCTACACGGGGCTAGGGGGAAACCAGAAGTATGGAGAAGGACTCTTGCTATACTCTTCAGAAAGAGCTGAGAGCAGGGATACTTAATTTCTTACCTCTCTCTTTCTCTGCCCCCCCCCCCCCGCAGAGTTGATGGAGAGTCTGCGTCAAGCTGAGCGTAAGAACTGGACTTTAGATCAGCATCACATTGCCAACCTCTGTGACTCCCTCAATCATTTTCTCACTCAGACTGGTCAGCTCCCTCACCTCGGAGGCCCACAGCAGCCTCCCAGAATCTCCGAGTCCTGTGCCATGAATAGTGGCAAACAAGAACAACCCATGAACCAAGGTACTCGGGAGGGTATTCTGGGAGGGTGTCCGCCATGGCAAGACAGTGGGTCAGTTAGACAGAGTCAAATAAGTACAACCACATCATGTTCTGTGGCATCAATGTCAGGATGGGTTTAAATTCTCCCAAGGTTCAGCCTTTGAATAAAACTTGTTTTATCTTGTATCATTGCTGTGTCCAATCTCCGTCCATGAAAGTTCACCTAAGCTTTTGCTGGCCCTTGTGTAAGTTGTTAGAAAGGAAAGAGGAGGATAGATAAGTATTCAAAGGCCATTACCATCTTAAGAAAATTTGAACATGCTTAGTATCCAAAGGGTGCATGTGGCCTGAACACATCAAAGTTAGTAGTATCCACATTGTGTAAAGTAACAACTTGCACTACCACGAGAACACGATGGCATCTAAGACATAGGTTTGTGTAGGATGGGGGTACTAAGATTGATTAATGATTTAGTTTATACAGAGACTATAATTTATCAGGTATAGAGTCTTATTTGCAAGTTTACAGAGCTTAAAATTTATCTTGGTATAATGCTTGAGTTCCCTTACATTTCAAAAGGGAAAGCAGAGACTTCCCTTTTATCAGCCAGTCTCCGCCTTTCCTTACTAATTATTCTATATAGCATGAAAAGGAAACTTAACCAGGCAGCTAAGCGCCACTTAGGAAACTATTTTTTGAATTGTCTGTTCACAATGCTGTACAGAATAATTGGTAAGGAAAATCACAAAGATATGAAGGAATGTTGTGGTCATTTACTAATGAGCAAAATACTTCATGGAGTTTATTCGAAGTCATTCTCTTAGATTTATCAAAGGCTTTTGAGATGCCCCAGCCCTATCACTTTCAGAGTGAGACTTCAATCAGTAATAAAAAAAGGAGAGAAATTGGAGCAATCCTAAGTGCTGTCCGGATCCTTCTCACAGGAGAGGAAACATCTCATTTGTGAAGGATCACTCAAGTGTGAGATAAAATCGATTATGCTCAAGCTAAGGGCATTTTAAGCATGACCCAGATTGCTCCAAATTCCCCATCTAGCCAAACCCTGGGAAGTTAAAGGAATAGTTTTACCAGTTCCACTCACCCAGTGAGTTTCCATGGCCAAGTGAGGATTTGAATCCAGGTCTCTTGAGTCCTAGTCTGTCAGTACTTCCACTACACCACACTGGGCTTCCAGATTAGTAGTACAGATTAATAAATAGCCACTGATCTCTTCTTTTGTAATAATGGCTGGAATCCTACTGATCATTTGTAAATTTGTTGTTGTTTAGTTGTTTAGCCGTGTCCGATTCTTCGTGACCCCATGGACCAGAGCACGCCAGGCCCTCCTGTCTTCCACTGCCTCCCGGAGTTGGGTCAAATTCATGTTGGTAGCTTCGATGACACTGTCCATCCATCTCGTCCTCTGTCGTCCCCTTCTCTTCTTGCCCTCACACTTTCCTAACATCAGGGTCTTTTCCAGGGAGTCTTCTTTTCTCATGAGAGGGTGGAGCCTCAGCTTCAGGATCTGTCCTTCCAGTGAGCACTCAGGATTGATTTCCTTCAAAATGGATAGGTTTGTTCTCTTTGCAGTCCAGGGGACTCTCAAGAGCCTCCTCCAGCACCACAATTCAAAAAAATCAGTTCTTCGGCAGTCTGCTTTCTTTAT